AAGTATTCTTAAATAAATATTATATAAAGTAATTACTCACTCCATATGTTTCTATTTCACCACTAAATATAACAGGATCAGTCCAATTAACTGTAATACTGTTTTCTGTAGCACTGAGTACATATATGCTACTCAACTGTCCTGGAACTGCAATTCAATAAATAATGACAATCACATTTAATCTGTTTATACATCAGTGCAGAGATTTTTTTTAGATGTTCGCAGCTAACTACATGTACTAACAAAAGTAGTAAATATTAAAAGCACTATAAATTGATATAGTGAAAAATTCAATCAAATAAATAATAAAGACCCCCAAAATAGAGAGAGAGGTTATCTGAAATTTTTTCCATGGTAACAATGGCCTCGTTAGAATTAAACCCTACTTGAGTGGCTATCTTGATTTGAAAATTTCTATCCCAAGGCACACATACATCAACATGAAATTTCATTATCACTTACTTGTTTCTGTGGTTTGAATACTTGCTACATCACTGTATTCACCCATTCCAGCTCCAGTAAAGGCAGAGACCTGTGAGTATTTTGAAATTAATATTAAAAACAAATTAATAAATATGGACACTTTAATTAATAATTTGGCAAGAGAATTAATTATCTTGGTGAATTTTAAGCTAAAAATAGCCACTAATTAGCAATTTTGAATCTGATTGATAAAATAAAATGACAAGCATCAAGTTCTCATGATGCGTTGTGTATGTTAATGTAATGTGCAAAGATCTGCAGGTCATAGTGTTTGACCATGGCTGGTTGACACGAAGAATTCAATTTCCATACTCCCATTAAAAATGGAAGACGAATCCTGTCACATGTAGTGTTAATTTTTATACCTGGAAGATGGTTTTGTGGCAAAATGCATAAAGTGTCACCAGCAAATAGTTACTGGAATAGTCAGGACTATGAAAAATGATTGGTGTTCAATTGTGGGTATTGTCGCCAAAAATAACAAATATAATGAAAACTGAGAACTGCGTCACATGGATCAAAAAGGCAGTATCATTAAATCATGTAAATTATTGATGTGTTCCAATTCAGTAACATCAAGACAAAACAATTTTGAATGAAATATCA